TGTAAAGCCACCATGGGTGTATGCCACACTATGTGCCCTGACAATCAAGCAAAGCGTTGGCCTCTCCCCTTTTGTAGACTGCTAGGGAACCATGCCGTGGTGTCCTGGGAATTTCCCATGTCCTTGAGTACAGAAGTACAATATACATATCTGTGATTCTTTAGACTATAAGTCCCTTGGCTCAGGGTGTATATCTCTGTGAGCCTGTGTGATGACTTCCTCTACAATTCACTCATGAGAGTGTTAAATAGACTCTGGAGGAGATTTGAAGCTGGAATAGGGAAACACTACAATCAAAGGGAGAAAGTAATGAGGAGCTGAAAAGATTTGGCCAGAACAAATTGCAGGATCAAATGAGCACTTCCAGAACCAAGCCCCTCATCGTTGATGGAGAATCTGCTTCTACCCCAGATGATTGCTCCAGCTGAGTCGTAAACATCGGTACGACTTCCAGCCAGAAGAGGTTTATATCCAGCCCACAGTCTATTCCCCAGCTTTCTCTCCAACCACTGATTACAGGAGCACCCTCCATTTTGAAGTTTTAATTTTCTGGAAGATGGAATTGTGGTCCTTATGCTTTAGAAATGATGGGTCAAACACTAGGTTGCTGACAGTGAAAAAGTTACCAAGGAGAGAGGGCAATTATCTTTATTTCATGTTGCTTATAATTTGCCCCCGTTGCTTGTCATCAAGACAAGCAAACAAGTTAGCTTTAATAAATGTCTATGAGTCCTTATATCCAATTTAACAGATAGAAAACAGATTCCCAGAGGTTATATAATTGAATCATGGTCATCTGCAAGCAGAGATGATGGTCCATGTCTCTGGACTCCCATTACCTTCCCCACCACTGCCACGCTGTTTTCCAAGAATGAAGTAAGTCTAAAATTTTAACACAAGCTAGGTAATGACGTATGAGGTCATCAAGGCTGGAGGGAACGGCGAGTATAGCTCAGATGGAGTGTGGATGGCTTAATGCAAAGTGTCACACAGTCAGGGGAGAGATTTGGCTCTTTATGCCAAGAACCTAAGCACACCTGTGTGGATATTCATGTAACCCAGGGACAAGTGTAGTCACAAGTGTATGATTGATAATGAAAGGAGAAAGAAATATTCATTCAGGCAGTCATTTCTTCGTGTAATCATTCATTCTATTCATTCGTTCCACAAATACTGTGTGTCTGTGTTGTACCATGAATTATATATTAGGGACGTAATAATGAATGAGACAATCCTTCTCATCAAGGGTTTTATAACCTGGGAGAGAAGGTTGACAGCAAACTGTGAGAAGTCTGCAATGAGGAAAGTGTTGAGTAATGATTACTATTATCCCTCTTTTATAGACGAGGTAACTGAGGCTTCGAGTGGATTAATAACCTGCCCAAAGTCACAGAGCCAATAAATTGGCACAATCCATGTTCAGTTCAGACCTGTCTGACACAAAAACCCTTGCTTTTACTCCTGCTCTGGGAGCGGTTAATAGCTGTGCTAGAAAAGAAAATTGTCGTTAAGTTTTAAGTTTTAAAAGTTTGAGAAATCTGTAAACTGAATGCCCTGCTGGGACAGCCACAGCGCACATTAGCATATTCAAAGGTTTGAGGCACTCGGTGGTAAGGAATACTATTTAGAAAGGCCATTTCCCAAACATCCAAATGTTCCAGCCAAAGGCCGCTGCACTGTGTTGACACAGTGGGAAACATGCAGCGAGTATAGTGCACAGGGGATGTTCCAGAACTCAACACAATTTCCCTTGACATTCAGGAGCGTTGGTGATTGGACAAGATGCTTTCACAACTTGGGCCTTCTCAGGTTCTGGGATATGTACCAGAATTCTGGTACACTTAGGAGTGAAGGAAATAAAGAAAAATAGTATTTTTAGGCATGAGTTTCTACAGCAAACACTTGTAAGTGATCGAGTTCTCTGCTATCACTTAGAGCAGGAGTAGATTTGAAAATTACAGAAAGTGCTTTTTGTTCAGGTCATACTTTGACAGCAGTGACAGGCTCCCACGAAGGAGAAAGCCTGCGGGACGTGAAATGATGATTTTAGACGCGGGGGGTTTTTATTGTCGAAGAGCAGGAATTCACGGGGGGCAGGTGTTGAGATCACTGATCGACTCCAGATCTTCTCTAGAAGTTTATCAGGAGAGGTTGTTCCTCACCCCCAAATTCAACGGCATTTACAAATGGAGCAAGATTTGAAAGAAGCTATCCCTGAGAGCTTGACTGCCCACTAGAGACACAAATAACTCCAGTATAAGGAGACTAGAAGAGTTAAGAGAAAAGGACCAAAAGGACTTTGGGGCAATTTCCATTAAGTAGGAAGACAAAAGCAGGAAGCTCTTCTGCTTGTAAGTTTTAATCACGTAGTGGCACATCTGGCTTTTGGGTGGAATTTGCTGGTCTGTCATGATACCTGCGTTCCATTGTGTCCTCCATTGGCTATTTCCAACACGTAGGATTTAGTTCTACCAAAGCATTTGTATAAAGCACTTGTGATCTTTTTATGTTGGTATTCTTGCACTTGAGCTATAGGAGAAAGTGGTGCTCTGGTCAAACCAAGTCCAGATGGACCTGGCCTCGACCTTCCAAGGAGCACCCCGGGAGCATCAGTCCAGCCTGGAGCTAAGGGGTCAGAAGGCATTTGGAGCAGCCCTTGCCAACTTCTTTTTATTTGTTTATTTATTTTGCTTGTCTTTATCCCTCACTAAACATTGATCCCTCAAGAAAACTGAGCTGGATTAAAATCAGATCAGTTCTCTAAAATAGATCCAAGTGGATTCTCCTAAAAAGACATTGCTAAGGCCCTCTCTCTGCTTCCTGTGCTTACTGTACTTGTTCTGGTCTCTCTCTCTGCCCTCCCAGAACCTCTGGGAGGGCAGGGATGTCTGCTCACCAGCAGATCCCTGAGGTCCTTACCACATCCCTGGGCTGTGAACAAACCATTTTTCTATTTCAATAAGAAACAGGGCAAAATGTATTCAGCTCCTTTTTTAAAAGTCTTTGATGCTGGATTTGTACTCATTATTGAAAATGTAGAAAACACAGACAAGAACCAAAAGCAAAAAGTTATCACCAAGAATCATGACGGCATGTTTCTTTGCAGGATCTTTTTTCTGTGTGTGTAAAATCTTTTGCCTAGCACAAGATCATAAATGTCCTCTTCCACTTTTATTTCTGTATCTATTGAGCACCTGCTGTGTAGCAGGAACTGTGCTAGGCCCTGTAGTTGCTTGAGATGGGCCTTAGAATGCAAAAGGTATTTCTGAAGCAGAGAAGCAGGGGTCCCGTAATTAAGGCAGAGGAACTCCACCTTCAGGTTTTAAGATTGTGGAGAATGAACTTTCAGCTGCAAGGGCAGCCAGAAAGGGCACCATAACAGAAATTCGCACCTAGATCTAGTGTCTTATAATGACCCTGCCAGAAATACTTGCTTGATACAATAGAAGAATTTCCAAGATTTGTCAAAGTTTTAAGAAAAGGCCAGAATTGCAGTCAATAAGGTCAGTTTGACTGGGGCCATTCCCTAAGCCGTCTTTCTGTTAAAGACATTGATGTTTTTAAAATGAGGGTTGTAATGAACTGTTTTGGCCCTGTGGCCAGCTAATCAGAATGGACAAAGCTTTTCTGATCAGCTTGTCAATTACTGAGCAGGGGGTTACCAGAGCAGGACCTGGGCTCAAAGCATGACATGAATGATGTCCTGTAATCCTCACAACACCGTATGAAGTTGATAGCTATAATTCCCATGTTGCAAATGGTAAAAACAGAGCTTTCTCTATTTTTTGTTCTTATTTTTCATTCTTTTTTTATTCTTTATTTTTTATTCTTAGTTGATTCACAATGTTGGTTTCAAGTGTACAGCAAAGTGATTGAGTTATACACATACATACATACATTTATGTTTTTTTAGTTTCCTTTCCATTATGGCTCATTACAAGAAATTGAATATAGTTCCCTGTGTCATACGGTAGGTCCTTGTTGTTTATCTATTTTATATATAGTAATATGTATCAAACTCTTAATCTAGCCCTTTCCCTGACTTTCCCCCTGGTACCCACAGTTTGTTTTCTGTGTAGAGCTTTCTTACATGTCAAGGAATTCTGGCTCAGAGGGTCACTTGCTCAAGGATGCACAGCTAGTGAGCAACAGAGCGGGAATTTGAACCCAGGTGTGTAAACTGTCACCCGTGCTGTACTAGGGCCGTCCAAGGAGCAGCCTGGGGAGGACTATGGCTAGGACTGGACCGATCGGGGACAAAAGCTCTGGGAAGCGGTGCTGGGAGCAAATACTCCTCATCCCCCGTCCCCCACCCCTGCCCCAGGTTACTTTTCTCCCAATTGTCCCACAAATACGCAAAGACGGAATTCCGTAACAGTTAATGGTGGTGCTCAGCTAACCCTTCATACTTGCAATGTAAGCTCAGAAGATGTCCTTGGATGCTCAAAAATGGGAATGTACAAACCAAGAGAAGAGAAAAGGAACAGAGAGATGGAGTTTTAACTTGAGTGGTAGCTGTCAGCCATTCTTCAGTCCTGAGGCACAAGGCACTTAGATTGACTGTCCACCACCTCCTGCCCTGGGGCTTTCAGGCCCAAGGACGAGGTAGTGAGAGAAAGAAGCGAAGCAGAGCAGGCAGAAAGACAGAGGTTTAGATGGTGTCTCTGCCAGACACTGGCTCTGCGATTTTCAACCAGTTTCTTAGCTTTTCTGGGTCTCAATTTCCTCATCTATAAAAAGGTCATATCGCTGAGAGCTGCTGTGAAGATTAAATAAGATAATATTTGCGAAGTGCTTAGCATGGCATCTGGCACAGAGCAAATCCCTTAAGAAAGAGAGTTATTAACATGAAATGGCCTGCTTGTAAATTATTTTGTCACAAGGTTATGGAATAATTCCTTTATTACAAACTTAGAAACTTAGAAAGCCTAATTTTCCAGAAGACAGAGAAAGGAAAGATGGAACGCAAGTTGTAATATTGTCTAACTTTGTTTTTATAGGAGCCATGGAAATTTACACTAGAGACAGCAAGACAGATTGTCAAGAAATCCCCAACTCTGGTAAGCAACCGACAGGGGGCAGTGCCGGCATTTTCCCGCACCTTCACCTTCCCCTGGCCCCTGCTCTCTCACTCCAAAGGCCAGGGGCTACTCCGGATGCAAGCCCATAACATGTCACAGCTGAAATGGGATTGAAGTAGGAGTACAAGCTCCTTCCTGTGTTGTCCTCCTCCTTTCTCTCTACAGCAGTGTCTCTCAGCCTCCGCACTGGTGACATTTGGGGCTGGGTGTTCCTTTGTTGTAGGCACTGTCCTGGGTGCTGTAGGAAGTTCGGCAGCATCCCTGTCCTCTACCCACTAGAGGCTGGCAGCACCATCCACCCCTTCCCAGTCATGACAAACAAAAATGTCTCGTGACATTGCCAAATGTCCTCTGGCACTCACTGCTGAAAACTGCTGCCTTCCAGTGGATCATTTTGGAGGAGGCTGTATCCTTCTACCCCTCCACTTTCTAAACATGTGACCTAGGCTGAGCCTCAGTTCTCCTGTCAGTGAGATGGAGACAATGGCAGTGTCCTTTCTCAAACCTGGACGTGAGGACTAAGAGTTGATGTGCATGAAGTACCTGGTGTCATACCTGGGACTTACCAAGCACTCAATAAAATGCTACCTAAAACCATCGCCATTAGTGTTCCCTTGCCCTAATATGTCCCTTTTGCAATCACAGTTTTATTCTGCAGGTAGAATACTTAGTTCAAGTTAGTTATCAATAAGCCAGATATTTGACTTAGGTCCTAGTTGCCAGTCAGCCCCACTTGAAAAGGAAGCAGAAAGGTAAACCTCTAAAGAATGGTGTCCGCCTCAGTGCTTACGGTCTTGGCAGGAAGGGAGCATTCATCAGAGATGAGAGGTCATGGCCTGCCTTTGGCTTCTCCCTACTGGCCCACTCACCCTTCACCTGACGCAATACATTCAAGATAGTATTGATTTGGCAACATAGAAATAAAGGGAAGGAAAATTCCGCTTGGCTCAGTTTACCAGATTTAGCAGATAAAAATGGAGGAAGGCAAATTAAATTTGAATTTCAGATAAACAATGAATAATTTTTAATATAAATATGTCCAGTGCAGTATTTTATTTGGCAACCCTACTTGTGGGAGGCACGTGGGTTTTGATGTACAAGGCTGATAAGCAGGCATCTCTACAGAACCGATTAATCAATCACAATGTCTGCATTGCCAACTATTATGTATTTCAGTGAGTAATTAAAGGCTGACGATAGCTGGTTCTGCTAATCTGCTTAAGCCACTGAACACGAAATTGAAACATCTCATGGAGCCCTCGACCACCACCTTCAGAACTCTAAACAGAACTGGAAATAATACGGTTTTTTTCTCATTCTCAATTTGCATTTAAAAACTTATTCTCAGGGCATTGTTTACTTCACTAGCGCAAACTGCCTTGGCATTAACTCAAAGACTAATTAGGATTTTACAATTTTTCATTTCTGTCACCCGAATTGCAAGCATAATTCATGGGGCAAGATTCCAATCATTCCTTGCAAGAAGCCAAAAAAAAAAAAAAAAAAGAAAAAGAAAGAAAGAAAATCAACTGAACAATTTAGCAATTTTAAAAAAAACTTCTCAAAAACCTCTTCCAATTTATTTACTCTCTAGATTAAGGCTATCAAGGAGAAAATAATCAGGAAATGCAAATATAAGCATCTTTGAAAAACTGCTCAGAGGATATTGGCTACAATTAATTCCATTGTGATGGCTGATATAACTGCAGACCTGGCCAGGATGCAGAAAGAAACACACATAGGTTGCATATCATTTCAGCACTACCTGTCAGATGGTAATCGAGACTGGGGAAGAGTTAAGCACTGTTGAAGGGAATGAGACGTTCCAGAGAAGATCTGCATCTCAAGGAGGCCCTGAGAGGCTGCTCATGGGAAGGTTTCATGGATTTGGCAGAGCACTGAGCATCTAAGGGTTTAGTTTATCTGAGTTATGGCATCAGTTTAATTCTCATGAAAACTCCTACAAAGTAGATAGCATATTTTCATTATCAACCTCGCTTTACAAATGAGAGGACTACAGATAAGTAATTCACTCACTCCAAATAGCTAGGAAGTGAGAAACCCATCCTTTTATTCCAGAATTAGCTTCTTCCAAGCTTCTCCCCTTTCCACTATTCCAGTAGCTCTCAACCAGACCTCCTCAGCACTGAACTTCAGGAAGCACCATTTGCCTCACAGGCTACATGGATATTAGAATCATGCAGTGCACAACCTGGACAGCCGAATGTGATGGCCCTGATCGCAAACCTACCTACCCAAAAGAACCATCTGTAAAGCTTTTAAAAATTGCTGCTATTCAAGATGGCCCCAAGTAAAATTTAATCCAAGTTAAATTCAAGTAATATACAACAAGGGCTGAAAAGCACTTCCTCAAGCAGATTCAATTTTAAGTTGGCTCTGTACGGAAGGATGCTTGCCCTTCTCCTTTGACCCTCTGCTTATCCCAGTCCCCACATTTTTCCTTTATTCAACCCCTGCTTGTTGTTCTGTAGTCATTTAACATCCTGAGGTGGGAAAGCTGCAGATGCCTGCAGAAGCTGGTTAAACCGATGGCAAAACGAAGATGCTGCATGACTTCTGTGCCCAGGGACAGCCTGGATTTGAGACTTTCATTTTAGATGTGATTACATACAGCGAGATGTGATATTTTAAATCCATTGCTGAGTTAATAACAGCCCACATTTTGCCTCTGTCTAGTAAGGTTCGAATTGAAAGTAACGGGCTGTCAAACATGCAGGCTAGGACTTCTGCAGTGCTGCACTGTGTCCGTCTAAGTTCTCTTTGCAAGTAAATTACAAGAAGAGGTTAGTCTTTCTTATACTGTGTGATGAAAAGACTGGATGATCTTCCAGAAACCTGTATCTTCAACAGAAGGAGTTCTGGGGGTCCCTGGACAACTTACATCATCTACAGCCCACATCCTAGATCCAGTTTCTGCACAATGAATGTCAAAGATGGTTGCAGCCTTCAGGCTGAATTTTGACAGTGAACAGCTGTGCAGTTAGAACATTTTACTCCATTGCACCTCTTGTGTAATAGTTGTCAGGCTGCCCATATAAATTTTTTGTTGTGTTGGTTATCATCAGTGTTAAAGTTTACATCGCCATTAACTTAATTAGACCAAGGCCTTCAGAGTGAAGTAAATATTAAAAGAAGTAGCGCGAACATTCAAATGCAACCTGACTTTGAGCTCTGGGTCTCAGCATGTATCTCTATTTCCAAACTGCCACCAACGTTGGTATCATTGCATGCCGGCGTTTGTTGTACAGTGTGTCTGTCTATACTGCTCATCTCAGTCAGTTACCAGGTCTGAACACCCCTTCTTTTCACCACCATCCCCCTCCTCCTACCTTTCATCAGTGGTTCCCAACCAGTGGCAATGTTGTCCTCCCATCTCTTCCCCTGACGACATTTGACAATGCCTAGAGACATTTAGGGGCTGCTGGCATATAGTGGCTAAATGCCAGATGTGCTTCTAAACATCCTACAATGCACAGGACAGGCCCACAGCAAAGAATTACTCAGCAGTGGTGCTGACGTTAGAAACCCTAGAATCAGGCCTGGAGGTCCTTAGACCAGTTGGCAGGGGATCAGACCTGCCCACAAGTCTCCCCACTCCATCTTGCCTCCTCCAGCCCTTCAAGTCACCTTCAGTTATACCTTTCTGAAATACAGATATGATCCCTCTGCTTAACACCTTCAAGGATTCCCCACTGCCCTCAGTGTAACACATGCAGCACCCTAGGCTTGTCCTAATGCCTGTCTCCCGTGGTTTACCATGTTCTCACAGTTCCTTACACTCCAGCCGGGTTGAATCTTTTGGCGGTCCTCGAAGACGCCAGCCCTGCTCATCCTCCACAGCACTGTGCGGGGTGCCCCTCTGCGCAGAGCCGTGCCTCTCCAGCTTTGGCGTGCACTCCGACAATGTGAGACCTTGTCCAAATGCAGGTTCTGGTTCAACAGGTCGGCCTTGGGGCCTTAGACTCTATTTCTAACAGTCCCCAGACGACATTAGTGCTCCTGGTTTGTGACGACACTTTCGTCAGGTCGGACCTAGGGCAGTGGTTATCAGACCTTCGTGAGCGTCGGAATGACCTGAAGGCTATGAAAACACAGATTCCCAGGAACTGCCTCAGGCTTTCCAATTCAGTAGATCAGGGTGGATCCGAATTACATTTGTATCAAGTCTGAAAACTGCATTTGAAGTTGCAAAGCATAGAGCATCTGTCTCTCCCTTCCTTCATGACTTCTGGATCATCGCCTGCCTCCTCCTTCAGTTCCTAGAGAGTCACAACGCCTGGACCACTGCAGACCCCACAGAGTGTGGTAAGAGCTGGGCTGTCCGCTCCTGCACTCCGCTAGGCAGTGAGCTCCATGAGACAATGACAGCCTCTTCTGCCTCCCCATCTTGCATGTAGATGCGGGTGCTAGTCAGGATGGTTCTCATCCTACATCACGAAGATCCTTAAAGCTCTCATTTATAACCAAGAAAAAGGTTGCCTGTTAGCTTTTGCCAGGATCAAAATATTGCCAGCTGTTCACACAACTTACAGCCATCTGAAGGACTCTTGGCGCTGGCAGGAATCACTACAGGTTCCCGGATACCCGAAAGTAGAGCATTCCTATGGAATCTTTCCTAAGGCTAAGAAGCAATTACCTTAGGACAGTCTTGCTACAGATGCACGAAATAAATCGAGATCAAGCACAGAGGCCCAGAGACACAGCTCAAAGCCGTGGCAGCCTGATGCTGAGATGCTGAGTATGGTCCCGGGCAAGGGCTGGGCAGTGCCGTGCTCCCTGCTCGGGGTGCGCACTGCCGCTATACTGGCTCCTGCAGAACAAATGATAAACACTGTTTTTACTTTTCTCCTTTTTTTGTAAGAGTGAAAATCCTCTTCAGATTTCTTTCAGTTGATGAAAATAGGTACTAACGTCGGTCTTTCACAGAAGCGAAGTGACGTAAAGTGAACTTTTGAAAAGCAGGGGATCCCTGTCGATCCCTCCCTTCGTGGATAAATGCTGGTTCCTAACTTTTCTACCTTATTGGTTTTTTTTTTCTTTTGTCTGAGCGCGGAAACCACAATCTTTCTAAAAGCCCTACTTAGTAAAAAGCCAGGGCTTTTAATTTATCCCACAGCTAGAGTCTCATGGAAACTGCTGTCTGAAATCCCTTTGCTCATGAAGCTTTGAAGGGCTTCGGCTGCACACCTCTCCTGCCCTCCCCCCAGCCCCCAGGGAAGGGGCCTACCTTCCTCCTCCTTCCTAAGCTGTGTCTCTCCTATTAGTCTTCACTTTACCTCATAACAGGATGGAATTAGTTTATTTGAAAATGTTGAATGTTCCAAATGTTTATTTGAAAAAAAGATATTTTTAAAATCCTGCACCTAGTACAGCAAGGAGAGGAAAGTCATTTGAGTAGAATGGACTAAGGTGGGCCCGACCCTTTCGGGAAGAAGATGGAGAAGAGGAGAAGGTGGGACTAGCTGGCTGGGGGGAGAGATGGGGAGCCTTCAGCCTGAGGATCCAGCATGAACAAAGGCACAGGGTCCGGATGACTGAGTATGGGGTCAGGAACAAGAGATAAATTTAGTTAAGTAAGATGGCCCAGATTCTGGAGGAAGAAGAGTCGAGAAATCCAGACTGTGGAGCCAAGAGGAGAGGAAGGGTCTTTAGAAGTTGGAGAACCATTTCTTGAACGAAACAACTCTTTTTGTTTTTCTTTTTTTTCCTCCAGACATATTCCCGAAGTGGTTCTGATATTTGTTCACTCCCGTTTTTGGCCAAGATCTGTCAGAAGATTAAATCGTAAGTACACAAGTTCTCCCTTCCTGAGCACTGGCAGGGGAGAGCATCTCTGAAAGTCCCTGTTTTCTAGTGACTAAAATATCCTCAAAGTTAAAAGGCTTCTTCCTGGAGGTGAAAGTGTTTCTTGCTCATGACATGCACAGAAACTAGAAGACAAATCAGCTCAGAACAAATCATTTTCGAAATAAACTGAATACCAGCATCTTGAACCTCCAAGCCCGATTTACATCTCGGGCTGGAATGCAGCCTGCCTGCCGGTGAGACTTTTGAGTGGCCAAGGGACAGCCCCTCCTTGCTGTGTAAGATGCAGACAAGGTTGGCCACTTGTCATGACAGGGACTCTTCGAGCATCTTTTGTGAAAGGCACTCACAAGGCTGGAAAGAGCCCAAACTGTTATCTAAAAATCTAACTCTGATACATGTGAACAGGGTTCCAAATGCAGAGACGCTTTCCAGAGTTCCCAAACCCTTCTGTCTCAGTTTAAAATCCCACACTCCAGCTCTGCCCTGAGACTGATGTTATGCTGGATGTCATAGTAATCACTGTCCAAAACATTAAAAGATGCAGCAGTGTCCCGAGAGGCACGCTGGCCTAAGAGGCAAAATAGCATCAGTTCCACCTTCCACTCGAGTGAGTGCAGTGGTCCTGCTGCCAGGCAGTGCACGGCCGCTGTTCTAGGGGCCAGATGCTGAGCTTCCAGTACGTTTCTGCACTGAGGGCTGCACTCCATGAAGTGGGGATTATTATTATTCCCATTTCACAGAGAAGGAAACTGAGTCTTAAAGAATTGACTTCTCCCAGCCACGAGGACCCAAGACACACCCCCAGGTATACTGAACCCCACTTGTTCTTTGGAAACATCCATATTCTTGGCTCCTGCGCGATGCCACCTCTGGAGCCAGCTTTGAGGACTTGAGCCGCATAACGTCTCTGAGCCTCAGTTTTCCCATATCTAAGCTTAAGGTATAATAGACTCATTTAGAAAGTTTTTAAAATTCAGACTCTTTGGCCTGAGACCTGGTGAGAGAGCACCGTTCTGAGGCTCCTGGTTGTTCGTGTCCTCCCCAGTGACCACCTTCTAGTTCAGGAGCTGCACCACGGATACTCCATGTACAGATGATGCTTTAATGACTGAAAATAATATTCCTTCGCTGTGAGACTTTTCCTGAGACCATGCCCTGCCCTGGCCCCTGGCGCTTTTATTCTTATTCTCCTGCAGGGACTTCCTATCACTTGAGCCAGTTCTAGTCTGGCCTGGCTCTCGCTGGGAAGGGTTAGAGGGGAGAACTTGCCAGAAGTGAGAGTGAGGCCACGCATCTGGACTGATAGTCAGTATCCATTTCCTAGGGGTGGCTTAGAACAACAGAAATGTCTTCTCCCGCAGTTTTGGAGGCTGGAAGTCTGAAAGCAAGGTGTTGACAGCTCCCACTGAGACTCTGCTCCTTGTAAGAGTCCCTTCCTTGCCTCTTAGCTTCTGGTGGTGGCCATCCATCCTTGGCATCCCTGGGCTTAATGCCATGTCACTCCAATCTCTGCCTCCATCTTCGTATATGGTCCTTCTCCCTGTGTGTCTGTCTTTTCCTTTTACAAGGTCACCAGTCTTATTAGATTAAGTCCCACTCTAATGACCTCGTCTTCACTTGTAAACATCTGCAAAGACTCTCTTTCTGAGTAAGTTGGGAATGGTAGTTAGAACTCCAACATATCTTTTTGGTGAGCACAGTTCAACCCACAGCAGAGGCACTTTTCCTATGTTCCTCCATCCTTCATCTCATGAGCTTTATGGGAGCTAAATCCCCTGAACATCCCCGCCTCTGCTGTGAAAGTGTCTCAGGAGAGGAGGAGGCTATGCTTCTGACCCACATTCTGAGGCTCTTGGGGATCCATTAAAAATGTTTCCTGGTTCATTTGCCCCCATGAGCTCCTGCAAGCCAGCTGTGCAAAGTTCTGGCCTAGATCCCAGAAACAGTTGTCAACACCCCTTTTCATGAATAGAGGTGGAGGCAGAGAGTATCAGGACATGAGGAGTGAAGGGGAAATACCAGACATGAAATAAGATGCTGGGAGGCCGAGGTGCAGCCAGGTCCCCAGGCCCTCAGTCATTTCATCATGCCTAGTGCTGTCCCCTCCTTCCTGAAGTCATCATTGCATTTTCTGTGTCAAATGTGGACCAGCAAGATCCAAAATGACAACTCTTCAATTGAACCACCTTAAAAAACTGAATTCAAGAGCATCTTGGAGAGGGATTTTCCTGGCTCCATTTAAAAGGGAAATTCTTCTTTTATGAAAAAGCAAAAGCATTTTGCTTTTTTTTCTTCCTATAAGACATTGTGCTTCTGGTATAATTTGTACCAGGTCACAATTTATTCAGTGCTGTCTGGTTTACAAAGCACATTTAAATGCGGCCTCATTTATTCTTCAAAACAACCTGTGGTTTAGTAATAATAATGACAAATAAAAGTTATCTGGTACTGTCTGTGCACCAGGAACCCTTGTAAATGCAGCCCTATAGGCAGACACTTTATTTGTCCCCTTTTTAAAGATGTAAAGTCATTGTTCCAAGTTCACAGGGATAATTATGGATAAATCTGACACTTGAACCCAGCAGCCTGGTTACAAAGGCCAGGCTCAGAGCCACTATATTGTCTGTCCCTTGGCTCTTAGCCCCACTTTCAGATGAGCAGGTAGGTTCTGGATCATTTAAAATGCCTGACCCACCAGCACAGTCTGCACGTGGTAGCGACCAGACCTGCAGGTAATCCTTCCATAAAGTCCCCTCCAGCAAGAATGCCTTTCCCTCTCCCTGCCTCTCCCTGCCCCCATCCTATTTGGTCTAATGCCTTCAAAATACAGTGGAGGTGTCTCCACCACGGGAAGTTTTCCAGCTCCAGCCTAGCACCATAGGCTTGGCCAGCTACTACCATGGGGCAGCCAAGTTGTGTTGTTGTTGTTGTTGCGGTTTTGATCAGAATTCACAGCGCCTACACACTGCCTATTTTTTATTTTAACGATGGTAAGTCAGATGGGTTTCTCTTAATAATCTCTTCTTTTTATTGAATTTCCAAATGCATGAACCCGCATATGTATTGTTTCACATAAATGCACACAGACTATCATATCCTACGTTAATTGTGTTTGTAACTCATCATTCTTTTCTTTTGTCTTTTTTCATTTGTTCCTTCTTCCCCATGCCCTGCTCTTTCCACCCACATTAGTCTCTGTCCCACCACAAGGTGTGCCATGTCAACAGGGTAGGGCGTATCCTCCCAAGGTTTTCTCTGCTCCCACTTTATCTTGCAGAGATGCATATAACACATCCCACACCCACACGCAGAGAAACAGAGCTGCTCTGGCCCCAGCGTGCTGCCTCGGACTCAAATGTGAGGCTAATACACATGGAAATTTCATTCTCCCTATTTTTCTTTTGTTGTAGTGCCCCAGTTTCATGACACAATTTTAGGGACTTTGAACTTGAATAGCTGGCCATTATGTAACAAAAAACATTCAGCTGCAATTACAGTTGCTCGCCGATCAAGCCTGCTAGCCAGACCCCAGGCAGTCACGGGGTGGTGGCAGCAAGCAGGCGATTAGCTGCACCAACCAGCGCAATCACCGTGGTTCTAGGTATTTTCACTGTTAGCTTCTTTGCCTTAAACATCTTTGCTGCAAACATTTCCACCGCATAGCTAGTTAGCCATGAAGCAATTTTGCTGTAAAAGATAAAACAGTGAAAGATAAAAGAGAGACATTAAAAAGGACATAATGAAACATGAAAAGTGAATAACAGAATTAAGGAGACTTCATTGAAAATACAACTATCTGAATGTATTTAAAGTCTGTGTAGATTTCATGGCAATACTGCACAAATAACTAACTGATCTTAATTCGTGGCTTGTCCCTAAGCACTTGTCTTCCAAGTCTTCCATTCTCAGTATTTTACGCTTTGTTTTTGCTTGTTGATTCTTCTCCTCATTGAGCATGACACTTTTTCCCTAAAATTTCTTCCTTCGTTAAGAGAGGTATCAGTTTCCAAATACTAGGATGCATATTTATACCTGAGCTTTGTATTGCATTCTGAAAGCCTGTGTACTGCTGATTGTTCTTGGCATATTGTCACATGTATGTTGATAAACATTCCAAAGTTCTATGGGAAATGTGAGTTCAAATCTGCCCCTTTCAGACACTCAGGCTCTTTCTCCTCCATTGTAGTGTGTTTCAAAATAAGAAACCAGCTCTTGAGGCAAATCTTCATTATCTGTCATAATTTTTGTATCATGTATCTCAAACTATCACCGAGTCATTGTACCTTTTATGGTAAAATTGCATTATGGCCAATTAGTTATGCAGTGAAAATGTTTGTGGCAAAAATGTTTGCTGCAAAGGTGCTTTTTGGATAGGAAGTTTATGGTGATAATAGCAGACATGCATAGCTGGATGAAACATTTGTGTGGCTCAGAACCTGAAAATCTGAAGCAAGTCCATGGATTGGATTCAGGATGTCTCCAGAAACCAAAATGTCATAAGAGCAGACTCCTGACTCTTGTTTGCCCAACCCTAGAAGCCATCCTTGCAATACTGTTAGCATTGCACATAGTAATAAAAAAAAAAGCTGAGGTTTTGTGAGTATTTATCACATGCCTGGGACAGGTCTTCCATGCTTCACATGTAGCAACTCATTTAGTCTTTACAGCAGCCTTAAGAAGCCGGTACTGACATTGGCCCCATTTGCAAATGAGGTCACAGATGTACACAAAGATTAAATACTTTGCTTAGGTTATATATCAAGTAGAAGCAGACCTGGGATTCAAACCCAGGGAGTCTAATTTCAGAACCTAGAACTATGTTACAGGGCATCCCCTAGCTTTTCCTTCCTACTTGAACACCCGTCCCCCATTTCTTGCTTTGAAAATGCTTTTCCATCCTTTAGCTTTCACCTTAAGATCACCATCTACCCTGTATAGAGTTAGAAATGTTTTTCCTTTTAGTGCACAGCCCTCTTATGCATTTTCTCGGTAGTGCTGTATTTATTTATTGATGCATTATTTTCCCTCATCCATCATTAAGCTCTTCTGGCACAGGAAATGTATCTTATATTCATCCTTGATATCTAATATGATGTCTGGCATGTGGCAGGACTCCAGAAATGCCTGTGGAATGAATGAGTAAATGAATGAATGGAATGAATATTTTAACATACAACCAGATCCCTGTAAGGTTACACAAGGTATCAGATTTAGATCAAATTTTGCAGAAGTAATGATAGTGAAAGTCAACAATGCTTTGTCCAAAACCTTGGAGCCAGATGTGATTTGGAATTCGGGCATTTCCCAGATTTTAAGAAAGTAACATATGGTTCGTATACCATAACTCACCTAACACTCCCAGCACCTCCTGATCAAACACGTTTATATTTAGGCAGTGAAATGTATGAATATTCAAAGTAGGGTGAAGCTTATGAATTGCCTTGGATCAGTTTTGGTCAAGTTTTGCCACCAAATGAATTTGCTGCAAAGTTGAAAATAAAATACAACTCTTGTTTTTCAGAGCTGTTTGGATTTGGGGGCTGTGAATAAGGGATTGTAGAGCTGATATAAGTTGTGGTTTATGCTACTTTTTTTTATATTATCCCAGCATCGTCTATTTTTTATTCTTATTTTTTATTGTCATGTAGTTGATTTACAATGTTAGTTTCAGGTGTACAGCAAAACGAATCAGTTATACATATATATATATATACACACATATATTTTTTCAGTTTCTTTTCCACTATAGCTCATTGCAAGAAATTGAATATAGTTTCCTGTGCTAATCAATAGTTTATGCTACTTTAAATGACCAAATACCCTATTGTGTCTAGAATGTATGGCTCTGATTCATCACTTTGAGCCTTTAAAATAAACAGGTGATGAGGAGAAAGTATAGCTCAGTGGTTAAGTGCCTGCCTAGCATGCACAAGGTCCTAGGTTCAATCCCCAGCACTTCCATCAATAAACAACTAAACCTGATTACCTCCCCCCACTTAATTAATTAGCTAATTAAGCAGGTGAAATTTGACTTAATGAACTGGCTTTCTAATTCTGGAGACAACTAAAGTGTTTCTTCTTTCAAGGACAAACTCTCATCCCAAAGATGGCAAAGGTAGGAGGGAACACCTGTGACATCCTTAATGAGACCTTTCACCCAGCACACTTTCTCAGACTGAAAATATGGCTATTTGGGTTTGCTCATTCTCTCGCTCGCTCCCTCCCTTTCCCTCTCCCGCTGTGTCTCCTCCTTTTCTCAACTAGAAAAATGAAACCGCTATCCAAGAGGTCAAATGAGCACATGGGAGAAAACTTCCTAGTCTTACAGGAGATATCATCTCCGAAGAGGCCTGTGACGTGGCCTTCGGGTGGGGCCACCGTCCCAGAGTTCGTGAGGCAGGCTCCACACTACCAGTCAGGCTCCGCGCTGGCTCTGGCCGAACTCACTTGCCTTGAGGCTCTCAGAACTGCTGAGAAGCCCTCGATTCAACAGATGGCTTACTAAATCCTGTGAAAGGTCGTGTGACTCTACAGTCTAGGCTCCAACAGTTGCCTTGCCTGCCATCTGACTGCACTTCCCTGCCGCCCTGCAAGTGATTTCCCTGGAGGGAAAGCAGTGTTTGGCATTTGGAAGTGGGGAAAAGTCTGGGAGTGAGGACACGGGGGACATCCTCACTCAGGGGAAGTGTCCAGGATTTTGGCCTGAACTGCTTGTTTATCGATCACATCAGTTTCCCATGCTCACAAATGGGAGTGAAAGTTGCCAGCTGACAACGAAATGCCTCACAATTCTTAGAATAAGTGGTTTCAAAGAGTAGACTCTTAAGAAAAGACATCTATCACAGAATGTGTAAAATGTGTACAGTCGATAATACTGAGCTCATTGATCGGACCAAAAAGACAGTCTCCTTCTTTCCAAGGGACCCCAGCACCCATTTCCCACGCCATCTAAAACTTCACTTCATTATTTCACTTCCCCAGTATAGGGCAAGTAAAATGTCAGCGGGAAAATAGTTCTGTCGGGTGGAGGGCAGGGATGAGCAGCTTGGCTGGTGCTTTCATTTTATTTTTAAAATTTTTATTTAGACCCTGAATTTTGTTTTTAGAATGGGCTTCTGTCACATAAACTCAACACAGCTCTATCTGAAAATGTGTCTATTTGTTTTCACAAACACAATTTCTTTTTTCTCAGCTCACCAAGTGTTTTGTTTTCTTTTTTCTAGAGCTATACAAAATTCTGTGCCATCCCAAGATGTAGATTCAGACAAATACAGTGTTTTCCCAGTAAGTATTTTAAAGAGTAACCAGATGTTCACTAAATACTGCATTGCTTCCTACAAATTCCCTTCCTTTAATAAGACAAGATTGAATGCCATTTGACTACATTATTAATTTGATAATACACCATTTTACGATTTTTACAGAATTTTTGGTATCTAATATATGGACTGTCAAAGTGGATCTTGTCCTAGACTATTTTTGTTTCCTGAAGCTATTCCCAGCTAGAATTCTCCATGGGGATAACAGTTATCTTGAAGTATGTTGTGAATTATTTCAGAAATTCTTAAACCTGTTTTTAACTTAACTCTTTTAAAGTGTATGTGTGTGTGTGTGTGTGTGTTTGTATTTGTGTTTGGGTGTGTGTTTGTTTGAGAACAGTTAGAATGTCAGGATGCTCTCTGTGAAAGCCAACAAGCAAGTAATAGATGTCACAAACTCTCCAAAGCTAGTGGGATCTCAGATATTCTAACTGGGAATGCAAGAAATGAGAACATTGTTTGACATTCTCATGACTCTTGACTCTTTCAAATCAGACATGTCAAAAATATCACAAATCCACGCAATTAACCAGTTTGGCTTGAGTTTTTTTAATTATCCAGTAAAATGATTAATCATTTGACCAAATAAACCAATTGTTTTGGGGTCTGAGAAAATTGATAATTAATAGGGAAAGTTCAGGGAGTTGGATGGTCCTGCTGTTTGTGAAAGTGCAACGCACACACATGAACACACATGTATACACAGACACATGTGTGTAAAACATGCATTCACATAACCACGCCCGTAAATGCACATATGTCCACATACATGCACACTCACACACCTGCACCCCCATACACCCACAAGCAGCAGCAAGCACCCAGCAGCACATACACACACACGTACACACACACACACACACACAGTCACATATACACACACTACCACCTGTGATTGGCTCTAGTACTATATTACATTTCACCTCACACAGGATGTCTTAGCATATTATATTAATCTTAATTTTCTTAGTGATTTCTAGTGTTCCTAGGCTGTATTTGAATTAAAAACTGAAAAGGTCAGTACCTTTCAGACAGGTCTGATGGGCTTTCACTGTGGATATTTCAAGGCAGAACTGAACCCCTTCTGTGTGTGCTGTTCGATTTCAGACACTGCGGGGCTATCACTGGCGAGGGAGAGACTGTAACGACAGAGACAAGACAGTGTACCCGGGTAGAAGGTAAAAGTCTCTCTGGTCGCTGATTTTGAAAATGACTTTCTGAAAAGGAGGCAGGAGGCATCATTATCTCCCCTAGCCTAGGGGATTGGTGCTTATAGAGAGGAAGGACCTCCTTGTCCCGACTGAAGTAAAGCTCAGTAAAAAAAAACAGTATTTGTTCATTCATTTGTCCAAGACATGCTCGTCAAGCACACACTAACTGCCAAGCACTCTGCATCATGTTGGGTGGTAAACAAAACAGAAATGGGTCCCCTCTTGTGGAATTTACAGTCTAGTGGAAGAAATAAGTGAGTGGACGGGTTATGGTGGATGTTTATCCAGCCTCCTACATGAGTTCTACGGGAAGCACTGGACCCAGGAAGAGTAGCCTTTCCCAGCAGGAGTAAGGAGAGGAGCCCAGGTCACACTGTAGTTCCGGGCTGATGTTCAGCCAGTCATATCCAGACTTCAAAAATGGATATGCCAGCCTTCATCTCGGCTGTGACTACAGTGCCGAAGCATTAAATCAACCAGATGTCTGGGACTTTAGAGGCACAATTTAAATGGTTTCACCTGTCTAAATAAAATAGACTGCAGATTGGTTCATTATGCTCATCAGCACTGTTCCACAACAATACGGTCCATGAATACAGTCAAGCATGAAAAGACTGAATTTGGTTCACAGTTCCTAGCCAGCAGCCAAAGCCAAGATAATGACAAAGAGGCCAGGAGAGGCTTCTGTGTGCCACAGCACACAATGGAGTGTAGCACTTTTCCTTGAAGAAACTCTTGTCTATCAGTGATGCTTGGAGTAGCACGCATTCATCCATGCATTCATTCATTCACTCGTGAAGCTAACATTCAGAGTGACAGTGTATGCCAAAGACCAATGTTGGTGTTTCCTTTGTAGGCCAGACAATTGGGATGCACATCAGGATTCCAACTGTAATGGCATTTGGGTAAGCAACTAAATTCAAATTTACCCCTGTGCTCTCGCTTTCTGCCCTCCTTAAGAGCACACAGCCTCTTTGCTTTAGTCAGACCCAAGGAAGAAGATCACATGTAGACTACAGCGACTCTCTCTCTGCTGTTTGCAAGAGGGATGTAGAATTCCAATCCCACTTGAAGAGTGTCAATGAATAATGAGAGTTGAGGCTTTCAGTCACAACCCCTGTAAGCCTTGCTTACTCACATTAAATCCCTTTATTCTGTTTTGAACAGTGTGAAATTAATTGGAGAGTGGTGTTAGCAAAGTTTTCTAGCAACCCAAACAGCTGTTGGAGCTAACTGCATGCTGTCACCATTTTATTGTAGCCTCCCCCCCCCCCATTTTGTAAGGTTACCCAGGCAGCATGGAAATTACCCTATGGTTACCCTGCTACCCACATCTTGAGACTTCTAATGCTGATGCCCCAGTTCCCTATAAATAATGGATTTTCAGCTTCCAGGTAAAGACAGTTCCCTATAAATAATGGATTTCAGCTTCCAGGTAAAGAAAGGGAAGGAAGGAGAAAAGCCAACCAAACCGTTATCTAAGGGCAGCAACAGCAGCGGGTCCCAAGTTTTGTGAGGTCTTGAGCTTACGTGATATGAGGGGTCCTTACGCAAAAAAAAAAAAAAAGAGACTACCAAATACAAAATCATGTGTGAAAGTATAATTAATTAGAATAAGAAAAAATCCTAATAAATGATTGGAGTCTTGGAAATTCAGGCCCGTTTCTTTTGAGACCTCTTTTCCAATTTACCAGGAGTGCTTACGTGGAAACATTGTTCTGAGTGCAGTCTGGCGTCTCCTTTCCATCTAAAACACTCTAAAGCTCCCAGGACTCACACAGGTGGGGATCATACAAATAAGGAGCCTTGAAATTTCAGATTCCCCAGATTCAAGATAAACTGCCTCTAGGGGGAGCGTGTAGCTTAGTGGTAGAGTGCACACTTAGCGTACACAAGGTCCTGGGTTCAATCCCTCCGTTAGAATTCAAAACCTCCATTAGAAAATAAATAAATAAACCTAGTTTCTCCCCCCCAAAAATTTTTTTAAAAAGATGAATTGCCTCTGAATAGTTACCTAATTTTCTGCTTGGATAAGGAGGAGAAAGTCTCTGTAAATAGCTTCCTCTCTTCAGGACACATGGCTTCTGGGATTTGGAGAGCAAGACACATTGTACCCCAGTATAGCCCACCCCACCCACCCTATTATCAGTCACACTGCCTTTTCATGAGAAGGAGAAGACATTACCCCTAGACCTTAAGGTATCAAGGTGTCAAGACCCCCAACCTCACTTCTGGATTTCTCAGTCTCATCCTATTGACATTTGGGATCATTCTTTATGGTTTGGACTGCCTTGTAAGTTACAGGATGGTCAGCAGCATTGCTGGCCCCTCCCCACTAAATGCCAGTAGTTCCCCCTTCCCTACTGTAACAACCAAAGATGTCTCCAGACATTGCCAGAGTCCCTTGGGGTAGAGATGGGGGAGGGGGGATCAGCCCTGTTGAGAATCCCTGCTCTAGAAGCACCAATCCTTAGGTGCTGGAGGTGTCAGGACACTGAGAGCTCCTGCTCAGAGACTGCTAGACCCCGTGTCCCAGCCACTGAAGGGGCCCTCAGTGACACTCCCAGCACTCAGAGCCCTGGCCTGCAGCCCACTCTGCGAGATGGTCCTTATTCCTGCCCCCAGTTCCTTAAAGCCCAACTCACTTACATAGACTTGCTTTGTTGGATTAAGGGCTCAAGAGATTTTAAAGGGTTTTATCTACTGTTTTGCCTTTGTGCTTTTAAAGCCATTTGGGAAGGACTTTGTATATATGTCTCATAAATTTAAAAACAAATTGCTAATCTCATCATTTCTCTTTTAAAGGGTGTTGATCCAAAAGATGGAATTCCATATGAGAAGAAATTCTGTGAAGGTATGAACTGTAAATAAGTCACTGTCCTTATGACAATAGAATATCAGTTTCTAGTCTGAGTCAGATTGAAGGGAACAGACCACCTAAGTGAGGAAGTGCCTGATGTGACAACATAATGTTGACCAATTTATGTTTCTTTTCATGACAGATTACAAAAAGAGAAATTATAGAAAAACGAGGCAGAATCTAGACAAAGCAAAACAGAATTTGTTTAATTGATTCCTTAATTGAGGTATTGGAAACTTTAATGATAATATTTAAAAAGGCTGCAAGATAGATAACAGGTCACTGAAATCATTTTTCCAAATAAAAAACCAAGTGGAGATGATCATTTTCAATCTTTTTCACATCCTTCTCAATACTCTACAAGGTCAGACGTCCGGATTTGTACTGACAGAGTCCTTGTGCCTACTGGGCTAGAGACTCATATCTGGGTGACTTGGGGGAGACCCTGTATCCTTGAGAGTTCCCAAAAATACCTGAGCAAAAGCTCTGGATTCTAAATACCCAAATGCCACACACACCTGGGCTACCAGTACTTCTGGGAGAAAGCTATTACAACCCACATAGTACTAAAAACACAGTCCTGGTAATGCCCAAAGAGTCTCAAACAAGACCCTATGGTAGCTCCATTTTATATTTAGGCAATGCTTTCCCCTAACATTTAGAATTTCATTAATTTGTTCATTCAACAGGTATTTCCTGGATGTCTATTCCTATTATGTTCCAAGGGCTCTGAGTTTTCATGGACGATGGTGATACAGCCCTTGCCCTCAGTATCAACTTAAAGTCTCATTGTCTTTGAGCTGTCAAAGGAGTAGGATGGGGTAGAAAATGTAAAGACCCAGTACATAGTTATGCAGTTTAGAAGTGCTTGTAGGATGAATAAAAGAATGAATTACCAAACTAACAAATAAATAAAGTCAGATCTGAGTGGAATCCTGGTGTGAGGCCCTAGGGTCGCTGTGGGAAGTCTCACCGAGTCCCCGAATCCCAGCCATTCCTTGATGTCCTGGGCTTCCTCGGTCCCCATCTGTGTGGCCAAGGGCCAGCTGTCACGAGGTCCCGAGATAGGGAGCCACTGGCATGAGGCTGGGCCATCCTCAGCTTGATTTGGGGGGTTGAAGGTAGGGGAAGGAGGCTGTCCTCTCTGACTCTGGGAGGTATCAGTTGATGCTTTCAGGATCTTAAGGGATTTGGAAGAGTACATGCATCACCTGTGGGTGAGTGATTTGTGTAGATGGGCCTCAGAATCAGATTAAGTGATTCTTAACCTCCAAACACATAGAGCAGCACAGAGACCTTGATCACCCCGCTGATCAGCCATAATCATCCATCCAGTGCTTTTACGTATATAGAGTAAGGACTTTAAAAGACCATAACATCTCTGAAAAATCAAAATTGCTCCATGAGATCACTCATTCTTGTAAAGTGAATTATAACAGAAACGGGAGTGTCTTCCAAGAAAGCAATTTTCAGAACCAAAATTTAGGGCCTATTTCTGAATTCAGATAAAGTTTTGATGCTTTTATTCATCCATCATTCACTTAAGATGTTGCACAGCAGTTTGTTTTATGCTGAGCTGGGAAACACACCTGCATCTGCGCAGCTCAGCTCGCAGTCTCCATGGCCTAGAAATCTCATCCAGCTCCTAAATGCTCTGCCCCTCACCCTCCAGCACGTGAGAAGTGGCACTGCTGCATCGCTTTTACGATGCTCTGTGCATGGAACACGCACCAGGATACGTGCTCACCTAACTGCCCAACCTGGAGGCTCCAAACTACTTGAGTGCAGAAGTAATGCAAATAAATTGTGCCCCCCAGGTTCACAGCCCAGGGGAATCATTTTGCTGGGAGACTCGGCTGGGGCTCATTTTCATATCGCTCCCGAATGGATCACAGCTTCGCAGATGTCTTTGGTAAGTAATTTTGGTGGTAATTGTCCCGGATGCGCTGGCCTTTGTGTTAGCTTCCCCCTTGCTCTCTCTAGATGTGCTGCCAATTCCAAACAGGTGCAAATGTCCCTCCTCAGCACAATATGCCATAAAAGGCACAGTTCACAGCCACTTCAGTGCAGTGCAGTTCAAACAATGTGATGAGAACAGGCTCACATTAGAGCCATCCTGGCCGTTAGAGAAGGCAGATGGAAAGGAAGGAGCCAGGTGGGAAGGAGACTTGGAGACCGTGAGGAAGCCCTTGCCCTCCAACCACCGCGGGATGTGGGTCCCGCCTACGAAATGGAAACTCTGATCCAGGGACATTAAATTACAGAAATCATAAGTTCTTCCTTAACCTCTTTTCTCAGACTGAAGAAATCAAACATGACCCTGAACACTCTCTGGTTGAACCTCTCACAAGTGCCCAAACTTGGAAAACATAGACCTCCCTTCTAAGGATGAGCAGAGAAACATTTGAACATATTAAAAAATGTTCCTAATCTGCCAAGAAGAGAGCACTTTTGAAAAAAAGCCTGCTATAAGAAAGTGACATTTTGTGAGATAATTAAATTCAGATTCTCAGCAATAATTTTGAGCAGATTAGACTCAGGGGAAAAGGAACACTCTGAGGTCAGGGAAGACTCATTTTAGGTGAAACAATAATAGCCTGATGTAAAAATGTGGTGGCCATACTGACCAGCAAAAAATAGGGTGAGCCAACCAGTTGGCCAACTGGGAAAATTCTGGAACTCAGATAAGAGACATACAGGAAGGGTCCTAGAGATTGAATAGGAAACCCAGAAGAAGAGAACACATCAGACAGAGAGGAAATGGTGACCAAATAAAGAATAAAAGGTAGTAATTTTCTTGAGTTGAGGAAATCCTTAACTTCAATTAAAAACCCCACTAAATGCCAGAGAGTATAAAAGAGACTCTCCTCACCATGTCTTTCTTTTCTTTTTTATCCCAATGTAAACAGAAATCTTGCAATCATTCTGCCCAACCAACAACTAGGAGACATACTACGAGGAAAAATCTTTTTGGCATCAAACTTCTCTCTCAACAGTAAATTTCAGGAAACAGTAGCACGGCCTCTCCAGCATTTTGAGGGCTGTATGTCAAAAGTGCTTTAATTGCCAAGATACTGTTCTTCCATGAGGGCCACAGAAATGTATGCTCAGTCATTCAAAGATTCAGAAAACATAACAGATTTATGCCTTCCTGAAAAAAATTATTTTAAGAAGAATTCCAGCTCTCTGAGCATGATATTATAAGAGGAAGGCAAAAAAAAATATGTTATTACTAGATTTAATTACAGAAAATTTTCAACTATATGCAATGTCAAAAAATTCATAAAATTGAAAGACAAATGAAAAACTAGAAGAATATTTATAACACGTAAGACAAGATTTAAATCCTAATAACAGAGTTCCTGCATATCAATAATGAAAAAACAATCTAATTTTTTAGTGATCAAGAAATGATCAATAAATATAAAAAATTTCATCTTTAGTAGTAATCAAAGAAGAACAAATTAAAACAACAATGCAGTATCGTTTATTATCTGTCAAAAAGGCAAAGGTTTAAAAGTGATAAAAGCCTACTTTTAGCAAGAATGTGGTGAAACGGACGTTCATTCACCACCAATGACAGTTTCAGTTGCTAGAACTTCTCTGAAAGACAAGTTGACAATATGCATAGTGACATTAAAATGTTTGTGATTTTAACCAGCAATTCTGCTTCTGAAAATTTATCTTTAAAACTAATGTCCTTTGCTCAAGAATCTATGTACATGAGTGTTCATCAAAGACATTTATAAGAGCAAAAATGAAAAAAGAAATTAAAAAATCAAAAAATAGATTAAATATGTGAAAATACTATATTTATAAAGTGAAATATTATGCAACTGTTAATACATATATTATAAACACATTTCTTACCAAGAAAAGATATTTATGATAACTTGTTAGGGGGCAAAACCAGGTTACAGGATAGTAATATATGAGCCAGTTTTTCTGAATATATGTGTGTTCATGTGTTGCAAAGAAAATAATTGGAAGGTTGTAGATCAGTATGTCAACACTGGTATCTTTAGATGGTAAAATTCTGGGTAAATTTTTTTCTAATTTTTCTTCAATGGATTTTTGTTATGTATGTACCAAACGTTTGAGGGATTGTTTTATTTGGTCTTAAGCAAATAGCTAAGGAAACCAGCTAAAGAATACTAAAGCATCACTTTTTTTTAATCTTCATAAAAGCCATCTTAGGTAGGTGTTATTACAACATAGCCTCATAGTACTTTACAGACAAGTACTCAGAGAGGTTGAGTGGACTGCCTAAGGTCACACAGCCAAGAGGTGCAGAACCACTTCCTGCCAGCATTATCTTGAACAAGCCACCTAACCAGAAACTCTGTAAATGCTGATAGGAACCATCGTAGGCAAGGCCATGTGCTTCGGTGAGCTAAGGTCTGTGAAAATGCTTTGGAAACTGTATGTTGGATTCAGGACAAAAAAAAGTAGATAGATGCACAGTTCACGCAGTGCAGTGGTGGCAGCTAGCCAGGCTGGTCTGTGTCCTCATGCTTGGCCTTCCTAGCCCACACCTGGCCTCTGCAGGCTGAGGTGAGGGGTGCCTCTCACTTTAGGGTCCTCAGGGTGGGGACAGCCTCTCTCTCACTCTCACTGGAGCCAGCAGCTCCCTCTGCAGGGTGCTAAGTCTCTAGGGAAGAGAAAGACCCACTGAAGAGACACTTTAAAGAAATCACTCCCGCGGTCCAGCAGCCAGCCCCCTCGCAGAGGCCTGACAATTGGCATTTGGATTGTAGCATTTTTTCTCTGCTCTTTGCAACGACACAAGGATTGAAATACTGCAGATCAGCAGTTGTTGGCTTGGGTTGGGCTTATTTCCCACTATCACTCTTTGGCAGTAAATGAGTAGTTTTGAGAAATGACTATGAGAATGGCAATGATGTAGGGCCAATGAGAAGCTCACATGAGGCGTAATAGTAATTGGAATTCATGAGTTTAACCAGTATGTCAATAATGTAGGGACAACACTACAGTTTTAGTGTCATTTTCTCATCTATTTCAAGCCTTTGATGTCTCTCCCAGTTAACACTCTTCAAGCTAAAAGTTAGGTACTCTGAGCCTGGGCCACTTCTGTGGGATATCATTTGATAAGAATGAAAGATGGGACAAGAAGAATAAAACAGAGAGATTTTGCTTAGAAAGTTACCCCCACCATTCTAAACTTGTCTAGAGTCAGTAGGGCAGTGGGGCTCAGCTGTCCCCATGAGGGAAGGGGGGCGGTGCTTCTCCTCACTGTTAGGAGGCCACTAAGAGACTTGCATAAGTGTCTCCAGAGACTGGGGTCAAAAGAACTGGTGTCTGACACTCTTGTGAGTAATGTAAGGGTAGTGACTGAGGCAGTGGGACAGAAAGAGTATGTGTCCCAGGGCAAGGACATGGACCCCAGGAAGGGAGAGCCAGCCTGGGCCGTTGAAAATCCTGGAGAGTATTGCGTGGATTTGACCTCAATGTGGGTGTTAAACTCCAGATGACCAGGGGCTGAGTGTGAAACTTCAGTGAAGAGAATGTACCAACTCCATAATGGGATTTATTAATTCATTGGAAAATAACAGTAAAAAACACAGCAAGATAAATAATGTATTTTCAATAACAATAAGCTAGAGGAATAGCATTCTTTCAAAAAAATAAGCTAGAGGAATAGCATTCTCTCTCACTTTTGTGAATCTCCTTGATATCTGGATAGAAGACAGTTGGATTCACAGATCTGCTTCTGAATTATTAGTATTATTAGTATTATGATGAAAACAATGATCTCATGAACACTGTGTGCTGGTCTCAAAGATCTCCAGGGGTCCCCAGACGGTACTTTGAGAACCATACAGTTTTCCCACTGCCTCTCATGTCCGAATTTTGAGGATTTACAATAGAAAGATTTGGTTGTGGGGTACTGCAGTGTAGTTTTCAAAATTCTTCACACCTAGAAATGCCAGAGAAGAGGCACTGTATGATAGAACATTTTGTAGGGCAAAATGGTGAAGCCGTCAGCATGATGTGGGCTAGCCTCTCAACCCAAGTGTTTCCACAGCGTGTTGGAATATACGAGGTTCCCCAAGAGAGCATCTCTTCCCGTCACAGTGTCCTCAGTCCTCATTCTGCCCATAGGTTCTCCCGTTTGAGAGCCTTTTAGTTATGGCACCACAAATAGAGAAACCTTGCAACCTTTCGGCTAATTCAGCAGGTGGAACCCTTTTAAATTGGGTTTCTTGTCAGTGTCAGAGTCAGCATTTGTCAGGGGTCAGTCAGAAAGCTGAAAGCATTCGAATAGAGAGGATTTAATACAGGGGATTGGCTATACTGGTGATCTGATACAGGAAACTGATTACACAAATATTAGAACAAAAAGAGGGATGCTGAAATTATCAGAGATTAATCACTGCAGGAAGCAGCTGCTGACTTCAGGGCCAAGGAACAATGAGGAAGGGGTATTACCAGAAGCTGGAGTAAGGTGGGCAGCTGGTACTCAGATCACAGCACAGCCTGTTTTCTGACTGCTGAAGGCACACAGACAGCTGCTGCTGGGACCACTGAGGAGTGTGGAGAGGGGCTGGAATTCCACAGCAAAGGAGGCTGGAGGCTGCTGGGGATGCCAACCTCACCTGAAAGCCAGAAAACAGTTACTCCTCTCCTGCTCCCATCCCCATCCCCACTTGCCCATCTCCCAGCTGTACTTCTTATTGGCAGGGAGCTGCAGAGGAGTGTGGGAAGTGTCATTTGTAGCATCCAGCCCCATAATGCAGAGCAGAGAATAATAGAGGAGTGGGCTTGGAGCCCAGAGGCAATTGGTGTTTTCCCAGCACAAGTCGCTCAAACCCTTCCACACCAAGTCTGGAATCAGCTCCAGCCAGCACTGGGCACCGGAAAGCAGGGATGTCCAAGGGGGCTGAAGAGCAG